TTCATATTTGTTTTATTATTTGTTATTTATAATTTATATTGCACTTTTCAAACTCTTGAAAAGAAGGGCTCATTTCCCACTGGACTTACATAAAATAAATATGTTTGAAATATTTTGCAATAAGGTGGAGTGATTCCTACTTAGTACATGAAAAATGTATGGTAGAACTAAACTTCCCCTTTTCAAGAAAAAACACTATCTCAAGATTTAAAAAGACACAACTTTCAATTAAGTAGAGCACAAAGTACTCTGGTTGAAGTGAAGGTAGAAATAATAGCAAAACTGGACTATTCTGCATTTTTATCTACCAGTAAAATTCCTGTTAACCTCAGATAAAACTGTAATTTACTAACACCACAAGAGAATGATGTAAATGAAGTTGTGCTGTATCCACAGATCCTTCATCACCAATATCATCAATTGTAGTCACTCCTGCACATTAAAGGATCCATGGGCCAGCCAGTGAGGTGATTCAGTAGGCAAAAGTGCCTGCCACCAAGTCTGATGACTGGAGTGAGATATCCAGGACCCACATGTTGGAAGGAGAAAATTGATTCATGCAAGTTGTCCTCTGACCTCCATATTCATCCCTCATTACATGTGTTCCTCATTAGATAGATAGATAGATAGATAGATAGATAGATAGATAGATAGATAGATAGATGGATGATAGATAGATAGGTGTTTAAAAGGTAAGATTCAATACCCTGAGATGGGGGTGTAGCTCAGCAGTAGAGTGCTTAGCGGGCAGAGAGCCCTGGGTTCTATTCCCAAGATTCAATATTAATCAAGACTTAATAAGGGTTTACATAGAATCCCTGTTTTAGAAGCTATATCTTAGAACTTTTGAAAACTTACAGTGGTAACTTGTTCCAGAAGAAAGAGAAAAACAAACAACAGCAAAAAATCCCAGCTACAAAGCAATGAGTAAAAGGCAAGTTCTTTGGAACAGGGACAACAGAACAAGTGGCAAAAGTTTTAGTGTCAACTCCTTAGTAATAAAAGGCACTCTCTAGGTTCTGTTACCTTTTTCCTGCAAACAGAAAAGTGAGAGGAATAGCCATTGAGTAAATTTTTTCTTACTTTATGAGATGTTGTAGATAACTTCACAAAGTTGAGGATTGTGTATCTACAGTTAATAGAATGCTTCCTAGATTTCCCTGTGCTTTTCTATTTGTATTTCATTTTCTTTGTGTGTGTGTACATATGACATGGCAACTACCCGAAGGAATAATGTTTGGACCTAGAAACGAAGGTTCCTTTGTGAAGCTAATTGAAAACTGATCACGTTGATGGTATAAGAATAATACCTGGGCTTCTTGCTAAAATGCTATTTACCACTATACCTGAAGTAAGTCCGTGGTAAGAAAGGAACTCTGTAGCTAGAGTTTTCCTGCCTGGCCCACAGTCAGGACAAATCTCTATCACCTGCCAGTCCCACAGTCGCTCAGACCCGACCAAGTAAACACAGAGACTTATATTGGTTACAAACTGTATGGCCGTGGCAGGCTTCTTGCTAACTGTTCTTACAGCTTAAATTAATCCATCTCCATTAATCTATACCTTGCCACATGGCTCGTGGCTTACCGGCATCTTCACATGCTGTTTCTCATCATGGCGGCTGGCAGTGTCTCTCTGACTCAGCCTTCCACTTCCCAGCTTTAGTCTCCTCCTTGTCCCGCCTACACTTCCTGCCTAGCCAATGGCCAATCAGTGTTTTATTTATTGACTAATCAGCAATACATTTGCCATACAGAACATCCCACAGCACTTCCCCCATTTTTTTTTTTTTTAAAAAGGACGGTTTTAACCTTAACAAAGTAAAATTACATATAATTTGGAAATTTGGGCGTAGCTTCTCTTACTACTTCCTGCTGGAGGGGGGTGCTGTATCTTATGGGGACACAAAGAAAATTTTAGGATTATGGAATAGTCCATGAGGGTGTATCGTCTGAGCCAGTTGCCTTGAAACAATTCTGGATGTTGGATCATTTTGGCCATGGTGTCATCGGAGACCTTTCAGGGGGTCTTGGCTGGTCAAACCTGATGTATCTTAATCTGGAACAAATCCATAGCCTTTGGCTTTCTGTGAGAACAAAAGCAGAGTCTCTTTTCCAAAGCAACATATCCTTACATCCAAATTTTGAAGTCAAGGTATCTTTAAAGTATACATATTGGTTTAACTCAGCTTCCTTTACAATCAAATGTTTTTCTGCAGTTACAAGTCCCAAAGACAACACAATGCAGATTCTCTGTGTAATATCCATTTTTACATGGCTTATATTTTATACTACCTTTACTGTCTCTTTAAAGACTTTATTTTTTAAAACTATGTATTTGTTTCTATAACTCTGTATATCATCTTTTTTGTCTCTTTCAAGTCTACGCATCTTTTACACACATTGTAAACTATTACATCTGAATCTGTCTTATTGTGAATCTATTGCTTTAAACTGCAGCAGCTGTGGCTGCTGGCTCCACCCACCTCAGCTTCCCAACGTGGCGTTTTCCACCAGCTCTGGGAGCTATCGTGGGTCTCTATGCTTTTATCCAAGCAGCGTATAGCCCAGAAACCTCTTTGTTTTGTACCTGCAAAGGCTAAATCCACCACGCAGCTTAATGTGCCACTTGCAGAGGACTCATTCCCGCCATACTGCAGGTCGAGCGCACATGCTAGGAACCCACCAGTAGCTCAAACTGGCAGCTGCCGCTCATTTGAGAGAGACGATTAGGAAGCTGTTTTTAGCTCCGTTTTAGAATCTTTTCTCAGGTTTTAGGTGGAAACTCTTGCCACCACGTTGGACACCATTTGTAGCTAGAGTTTTCCTGCCTGGCCCACAGTCAGGACAAATCTCTATCACCTGCCAGTCCCACAGTCGCTCAGACCCGACCAAGTAAACACAGAGACTTATATTGGTTACAAACTGTATGGCCGTGGCAGGCTTCTTGCTAACTGTTCTTACAGCTTAAATTAATCCATCTCCATTAATCTATACCTTGCCACATGGCTCGTGGCTTACCGGCATCTTCACATGCTGTTTCTCATCATGGCGGCTGGCAGTGTCTCTCTGACTCAGCCTTCCACTTCCCAGCTTTAGTCTCCTCCTTGTCCCGCCTACACTTCCTGCCTAGCCAATGGCCGATCAGTGTTTTATTTATTGACTAATCAGCAATACATTTGCCATACAGAACATCCCACAGCAGAACTCGTCATGGTCAAGCATCACAAAAACAGCCAGTGGAACTTGCCAATGGTTAGACTGGGAGTGAGGTGAAAGTATGTGAAGTGTGTCGGCCTGAGAAGGCAGGAGGATGCAAGATGTAGGCTAAAGGATGGGAGACGGCCAGAAAGGTGACGGGGGAGTGGAGACATTGGTTCTTTCTGAGATGTGGAGGCATGAAAGTAATGGGTTCTTTTTATTATTATTACATTTATTCATTTGTGTGTATAGTGGATAGTATGGTCATCCACATTCTACAGTGCATAGAGAATGGTCAGAGGACAATTCCAAGTGTCAGTTATCTCTGCACCATGTAGGTCCTGGGGCATGGAGACTCTGTGGCAGGTATCTTGACCCACTGAGCCATGTTGATGGCCCAACAACAGATTCCTGTTGGGTTCATAAATGAGACAGATATAGGGAAACATGAGTCACAGAGAGGAACTGGCCATGCACAAGACAGATCAGACAGAAACTCATAATATGGGATAAGTTAGTTTATTACAAACTGAAGTGTAACTATTCAGATGTCCCTGGAGTCTAGGAACACATTGTGCTGAAGGAGTTTCATAGCTGCACTGTGGCAGTTTGAAGGGATGTTGCATGTTCAGGTCGTGTAGCATGTCAGATAGGTTGACCCATAATAGAAATGGCTTTCCTGTCTAGTGGGGCATGGATTGCATACTGTGCTGTGATTATCTGGTACACTTAATATCCTACTGAAGGTTTTCCAGTGACAAACCCTTTCCTGAGTCTTCCAACTCCAAGGCAATACTAGCTGCCAGAGCAAAGCCTGGTGTCTGGTTAGTCACAGACAAGAGTTACCCAAGGGACAGGCTGTGCCTGAACAGTGACCCACAGATACAATTCATCTCACCCCGTGGATAATCCCCTCTCCCTAGGATAAGATCAGAGAAGTCCCTTGACATCCTTTACACAGCATTCAGACTCCATTCTCCATCCATGACTTCCCTGTGATATTCCTCACATAACCATTGGAGTCCCCTTTTTATCCTTGACTTCGTTGGGGAATTTGATGGCAAATTTAAAAAGAAAATATTAAATGTTTTTAATGGGCAAACATAGACCTCTTCCCACAATACACGCTTATGTCTCTGTGTCAGAGGAGAGAGACAGAGAACTTAGTGTGAGAAGATATAGGGTTTTGCTTCTCAGACTAAGATTGGGGAAGGAGAAAACAATGCCAACAACAAAATAGTTAGATGCACTGAAAGTTTGCAATATTCTAAATACCAGCCTTGATATCGTGTCTCAGTTTGGATCTCTCAACTTCCATTACACTTGGTGCCATAGACCTCTTTGTTAGGAGTGAAAAAGTTGAGAAAGAGTTACACAGCTGATAAGTGTAGTCTGACATCGGATTCAAGATTGTTAATCAGAATTGTTTTGCAGATTTGAATATTGTCTTGATACATTTGACCATAATGTATATAACTATATCAAAGTATTTAAATAGAAAAAAATGTTTAAATAATATAATGACATTTTAACCAGTTATATAGGTAGCATTTAACATATTTGATTACATTTCAGACATAGGTGCCTAAAAATAAAATCGTTAAGTTCATTAGCTTACATAAATTAACTTCTATCACTATTACACACACATAAAATTCCTTGTGCTGTCAAAAATGCCAAGGTTCAGTATAAAATTCTTCGTTCAGTCTCTTGACATTAGGCCATTCTTTGTTCCTTAACACTAATAGTTTGAACATTCTGTAATTAGTTGGTAATTGAATTATGTTTTCTTCTCTGAAGGCAACTGATCGAGAGGGAGACCCGATCACATATGCCATCGAGAACGGAGACCCTCAGCGAGTTTTCAATCTTTCAGAAACGTGAGTTACAAGGAAGTGATTTATACTTGACTGCCCCCTGTTAATGTCAAACAACATGCTGTTAGCAAGAGGACAGACTTGCAGCTGTTTGTAGCTTTATTTTACATTTTTTTTCTATGAATGTTAACGAGCACTGGGGGTAATTCTAAACTCAAAACCTATCCCTGGAGACTATTGGTTTATCTTAAACAATTTTATCAAGTAAAATCCACTGAGGTGGAAAAATTTGCCTTTGCAGGCAAAGGCTTGGACTAATTAGATGCCTGTGAAGTTGGCAGTTGCTCATAGCAACTAGGGCATTTCTACAAAGAATACAGCACTAACTCATTCACTTGAAGGGAGGCTTGGTAACCAGGTGTGCTACATCACATCCATGATAAAATAAAACTGCAGCACCTCTTTTGGTCTATCTGCTCTCAGCATATCAGAGACACTCAGGTCATAGCTGTTGGAATGGGTGATGGCATTCGAGAAGATGGTCAATGTACAGACCCCACAGGCTTCTACTCCGCATCATGATGGCAGTGAGGTTGCGGGACTTTCTTTCTTTTTTTTTTTCTTTAATGTTCCAGAAGGAATCCAGTTTTGGGGGTATTTCTTTCTTTCTTTCTTTCTTTCTTTCTTTCTTTCTTTCTTTCTTTCTTTCTTTCTTTCTTTCTTTCTTTCTTTCTTTTTGTTAATGTGTTTTTTTATAAATATTTTTATTTTATAATTAATTTAATTTTACATATCAGCCACGGATTCCCCTGTCCTCTCTCCTCCCATCCCCCAGCCTTCCCCCCAACCCACCCCCTATTCCCACCTCCTCCCCTGGGGAGGTCTCCCCTGGGGATTCAGCCCAGCCTGGTAGATTCATTTGAGGCAGGTCTAGTCCCCTCCTCCCTGCACCAAGGCTGAGCAAAGTGTTTCAGCATAGGCCCTAGGTTCCAAAAAGCCAGCTCATGCACCAAGAGCAGAACTGATGTTCCACATCTGCAACCAGTATCTTCTCTCACTGAATGAAGGGAGAGATGACTTATCATGGTTCCAATAGGATAGTCACTGCTTCTGTCCCTAGAACATGTGGTTTCTAATCAAGTGGGCCATGGGTGGGTCTTTTAATCTTATGACAAACAAAATTTAACATAATAAAACTTTATGAGAAACGGTCAAGTCCTTTCAGAAAGCCTTAGGCAGACAGTAACAGTTTTTCTCACCTCTCTGGATTTAAAGGTTTGATAAATAATTTCTACTTAACAATAGAAAATCTTATCTATTTGAAATTTCCTTCACAGATACATTAAAACCATAAGTTGACCACAGTTTGTAATTTCCATTAAAAATAAAACTATGTAAAACACTGTTTTATTGAAACTGTGGTAGTGCTAGGCTAAGTATCCAAGCCAAGACTGGGATACATTTACAAATCTAGAAACACCCCTAACACTTACCAAATGGGGTCAGAACCCATCCTATCAATAACAAGTTGTCCTTTCAGCTGGTGAGTTTTGGACACAGTGAGAAAGAATGAAGTCAAGTCATAACACCATTCTTAAAAAATAACTGAAAATAGGTTGCATATCTGAATACAAGAAGTAAAACTTCAGAACTCTTAGAAGAAAAATTATACAATATATATAAATTAGGCAATGGGCTATCTACATATATAGCACAACATTCACAATTATTATTAAGAAAGTATATTGATGCTCATCCAAAATTTAAAAAGAAATATGTTTCAAGATGCACCAGCATCAGCATTGAAATGAAAGGTCACCTACACACTTGTATAAAATACTTTAAATAATGTATATTGTAATAACTATATATCAAAAATTCATAAAAACCCAAAAGTAAAAAGAGAAAGAAGCTAATTAAAAATAGGCAAAGATTTGAAGAGACACCCCTTCTGTCCCTTATTCCATCATTCTCTCTCTCTCTCTCTCTTTCTCTCTCTCTCTCTCTCTCTCTCTCTCTCTCTCTCTCTCTCTCTCTCTCTCTGTGTGTGTGTGTATGTGTGTGTGTGTGCATAAATGATAGCCAATGAGCACATAGAAATATAGTTTCTTTCATTCAGAAAATGCAAATTAAAACTATGGAATTAGAGGAGTTCACATGCAGGTAAAAAGGAGTATGAAGAACAAGCAAGAGTCCGAACATGGGGATAGGGAGTCCTCATGGGTGTCTATGGAGAACATATGCTTACAAAGCTGGGAATTTTCTCCACATGTTATAATATATCCCTATAACTAGGTAATTATCTTCATGTCCACTGAGCAGAATTTAGGTCATACCTATGTATAGAATATGTGAAATAATGTTCATTGCAAGCATAGATATGCACAAAGTGGAACCAACTCACATATCCATCCACAATAAATAAGCAGTGTTCTTTATCTACATAATGTATTTTTATTCATTGATAAAAGAGAATGAATAACTGAGACATGATTCAGTAAGGACATACTTTGAGAACACATTTTTAAGTGATAATAAATCCAAAATTATCATATAATTCTATTTTCATTTCCTTGAAGTACACAGAACAGGCACACACACACACACACACACACACACACACACACACACACACACACACACACACACACATACACACAGGATTCCTGAGAACAAAAACCAGAAGATGACAGTGGACAGGAAGGTAAAAATGTGTCTGGCTCCTCTCACATCTCTATTTAGCAGGAATAGCTGCTCTGCCTTGCTTTATATGCACACTATTATGCTATACACATGAACAATAATGTGTTTACTCTCTCCTTAGCAGGTATTTGAATTATATTTATTCCTTTTGGTTATTGACACTGTGATGAATATACATGTGTTTATATGTGTCTAAGTACATAATTTGTTGGTTTGGGCTGTATACTCAAAAGCAGAATTGCTAGGGAATATTGTAAATATGTATCATAATGATTTCAGAGATTGTTAAATGCTTTTATTAGAGTCTGAATCATTTTATATTCTCAGCACCAATTTACAAGATTTTCTGAACCATTTTTCATTTTCACTGGCAATGGATAAGGATTCTAATTTCCCCCATAATGTTACCAACACTTAGTATCAAATATTTTTACTATGGTTTTTCTTCTTTGATTATAACTATCAGTGAGTGTGAAGTGATAGTTCTGTGTGCCCTTTATTTGCATTTCCTGCAAGAGTAAGTAATGACTTTGAACACCTCTTTATGACCCCTTTCTCTATGCACTTTATTTGAGAAAACATCTGCTCTGATCCTTTGTTACATTTTAACTGGTTCCCTCCTGGTTAGTGGCATGAGTCCTGGGTAGTTCTGAAGCTACATGCTTGCTTGATATAGAATTTGAAAACAGTTTCTTCTGCTTTATTGGCTTCTCACATCACTGATAGTGCTTTTTGATGCAAAATGTTGTACTTATGACAAAGTCCAATAGAATTACTGTTTCTTTTGCTTCATGTGTATTTGGCATCTTACCCAACAAGCCATTGCTGAATCCAAGTCATAAATAATGTCCTTGATGTTGCCATATGAGGCTCCTTTGGTTTTATATCCTATAATGATATAATTAATACATTGGAGTTAATTACTGCAGATATTTAAGTAGTATCCTTTACAGTATTGAATATAGATTTCAGTTTTCACACCATAACTGGTTTAAAACAATTTTTTCCGGTTGAATGGTTTTGATACCTTTGCTGAAACTTTGCCATAGACATAATTCATTCTGGGACCTTAGTTTTGTACATTGGATATTCTATTCCGATTGGCGATGATCCGATCAACCTGAAATTGTGTGCTGGGTTTGTATTCTAGGATCTTGAGGGTAGGATGCGCTTTGCCTCAGGTTTCAGGTTCTTTCGTACCTTCAGTGGTTTTAAAGAACACCCAGTGTTTTTCTTCCATGAGTGAGTTCTAAGTTCAAGCAAGGAAAGTGCTGTACAATATTGCTTACTGAAGCTGACAACCTTTCAATAAGACAGCCACAATTCCTCGTGAAAGTTATAGGTGTGTCCCTCCATAACAAGTCCAGAGCATTAATTCTCTCTTTACACTCTCAAGATCAGTGGTTCTCAACCTTCCTAATGCCATGACCCCTTAAATCAGCCCCTCATGTCGTAGTAATTCCCAACTATAAGGTTATTTTTGTTGCTACTTCATACCTGTAATTTTGCTACTGTTATGAATTATCTGATAGGCAGGGTATCTGATATGCAACCCCTGTGAAAGGGTCATTTGACCCCGAAGGGGGTCATGGCTCATAGATTGAAAATGGCTGCTCAAGACCAATGTGAACCAGGAAACTAGAAATAAACAAACAAAATCACCATAATGCTCTCCCGTGATTGTTAACATTTTTCTTTGTTGTGTCTTCATTTGGATTCTGTAAATATTTGACAATTTTCCATAATCCCATTCAATGTGGGTCTGACTCAGGGTGCTTGAAGCTTTGAAGGTCTGTGGGGTATAGGCAGAGTTTTTCATTGGGATCCCAGGTCAGCTCTGTCCTGCCAGCTATTCCCAAATAACCACACAGACACTTATTACTAATTCTAAATGCTTGGCCATTAGGTTAGGATTGTTATTAACTAGCTGGTACATCTTAAATTAACCTACATTTTATCTACATTCTACCATGTGGCTTGGTACCTATCTCAGAACTGCATGTTCATCTGCTTCATTTGCATCTCTTCTTGACTCCTCAGACTTTGCCCTTCTTCTTCCCAGCATTCTCTCTGCCCCAATAATCCTGCCTGGCCATTGGCCACTCTTAATTAACCAATGAGAGTGATACATATTCACAGTATACAAAAGGATTGTTCCACAGAGATGGGGAGATGCTATCTTGGAATTGCCTCCTTCACCACACCCACTGCCTTCACATCTGAGTCATGTTTTCAGTCCTGTGAAAAAACTCAAGCAGTGCTATTGTTGGATTTTTATCAGAAGCAATCTGATGTACCATACAAAAGAAATTTTTTGCACTCCTGAAGCAGACAGTGTTCCCTGCCTCATGACCTCCACCCGTTGGTGAGAATGTTCCTCCAGGCCAGCTTTACCACAAGAGATGTTCATATTTTCCACAGACTCGTCGCTCTGCTCTGAATACTCAAAGACACTATCTACATTTCACTCTCTCTTCCACAATCAACTGCCTCCATCATGGAGTCAGAAGGCATAGAGAGAACATTATCTCCATCATAATCATATAGACAAGGAAAGATAGATTTGTGTGAAAAACTGTTACAAAACAGAAAGCTAAGTCACTTTCAAAGTTCATGCCCAAGGAGAGTTAGAGAAGGAATGAAGGACTGTAACAACGCAACACAGAGCAAGGCCAGGAACAATTCATTTTTTTATCATTGTACTACACCTAGGTTGACAGACTTCCCATTTCTTAAGTTGTTTCTAAGTGTGTCTGAGAAGCCAAAACCGCCTTATTTTTCTCTTTGAATGTTTTTACAGAATGACATTACCTGAGGCATCTGCGGTGTAGAGCGTTGATACAAACCTGATTACTGTGAATGTGCTCTGGAAGTGGTTTTCAGTTATTTGGACTAAACTGTTTTTAGTCAGTGTTTCACAGTCCTGCCATATGCTCTGAGAGCTTCCAAAGTCGGCATCATCAACAAAAAAAAAACAACCAAATGAGTTTGGAATTCCATTTTTCCCCTGACTCTTTTCACTGCCCTGTGCAATGAGTATCATATAAATTCCACTCTCAGAATCGAAGCATTTAAGTTAAAACAAAGCCTATTTATCAATTAAAAGCAAACTAGGTTTTATACTTGATTATTATCTCAGTGTTTATTGCATTAAAATAAATGCTCTCCTACAGTTGGTACTTGATGAAAATGTTGTTTGTAGCATCCAGAGCAAAACCCAAAAAGACATTTTGAACTTAATTTGGAGACTGAATTGTTATAAATATTACATTGGAGAAAAGTATACAAAGGGGATGTTTATTCTGGGTAGTAAGGGGTAGAATTAAATCATTCTAAGGATGAGAATTTTTTCAAGTATTGTTTGTAACTTATTTTACTTACATCGAGAGTCACTCTAAATTCCATAAAAATAAGCAAATAATGTAATTTCTAGTACATCCACAAGTATGTATCTAAATATTATTAAATGAACACTAACTATAATTTATTATAAAGAATGTAAAATATACAATATGATCCCTTTTACAGAACAGTTATAAATGTAAATATACATAAGAAAATAAAAAAATAAATATTAAAAATTTGGCACACTACACATTTAATATAATCTTTGAATTATCTGATTTTGTATAAGTTCCATAAATGTGAAGTGCAAAGGAAAATGGGCTTCCTCACAGAACTTGTCAAAGGGAAAGATTGTCTCCCATTTCCATAGGGATCATTTTGCAATAAATGGGACAATGTCTTGACTGAGAATTGTGATGTTGCCTAGAAACAAGGGAGCCTTTTACTTTGAAATGATGACACACAACACCCAGTGTGTCTCTCCCAGGAATGAATTAACCATAACACTGTTGTTTTGCTTGGTTATTCCACTAGAAGGTAAAGAACCATCTCTGTGATCTCATTCAGGATTGCAGTTTTCTATTATTGCTAAGGATCTCAACAACTTTAAAGAGTTGCTTCCGATTTCAGCAGGAGTCCTAGAATCTCACTTTAATACACAGTTTATGATTATGGAAAGTGGATAAAAATAATCAAAAATAGCTCTTCCCAGGAGACCCTCTTCTGCTTCATGACATATATAAGAGAAGATACGCAATGTTTTTATTTGTGGAAAGGAATAGAAATGGGGGAAGGGGACAAGGAAAGATAAGGTGTGAACATGTATAAAGGGTAGAGATGGAAGCAGGAAATGGGGGTGGAAGGAGGAGGGATAGGGATGGGGATAGGGAAGAGAGGGAGGGAGAGGAGAGAGAGGTGACCAGGTCTGCAGGGACCTTTATATCCAATTTGGGAAAAAGAACAGCTCACTTGACCCACTTTCTTTTTGTTTCTCTCTCTGCCTCTAGCACGGGGATTCTCACTCTAGGGAAGGCGCTAGACAGGGAGAGCACCGACCGCTACATCCTCATCGTCACTGCCTCAGACGGAAGGCCAGATGGGGTAAGTGTGGGCACTGGGAAGGGGTTTTCAAAGCAATACTAAGGAAACTGAAGAGTCCTGTATCCCTACACTCTAAATTACACGTTACAGACATCAGGAGTCTTATTCACTGAGTAAAGTGCTCCTTTCTCAAAGGGCGTCCCTAACAGATATTTCCATGCTCTGAAACTTTCCTGGTATCTTATCCTTTGATTTTAGGAACAGACCTTTGTGTTCCACAATCATTCCATTTTTATCATGGCAACTCATGGTGAACCTGAACTCAGATTTTCTCTTTCAAGCACTGCATGGTGGTCAGTCACAAGCAGCAGCAGAGTACCACTTGAGGCTTTCTGGGTTGAACATCCCCCTCTCAACCCGACTCTGGAAGAGGCAGGACTGAGACAGGTTTTAAGTGCATATGGGTCAAATGAGGCCATAGGTATCCACATGGATCACTCAGGATCTGAGGAAACCTTAATGATCTCCAATTTCAGCTGCCCATAATTTTAGAGAGGTAAATTCCATTTTGCCTCTTTTTTTCTGGTCCTAATCATCAGTTCTCAGAATAAATAAATTGGGCTGGGCGGTGGTGGCACACGCCTTTAATCCCAGCACTCGGGAGGCAGAGCCAGGCAGATCTCTGTGAGTTCTAGACCAGCCTTTTCATCTTCCTGGAATCTGTTTTTGTTTGCTTTCATTCTTTCCTATTTTAACCTCTGGTGCTTGAACTCAGAGCCTGACCTGAGCCTCTATCACAGATCACGACTACAAGAGTCTAGATTTAAAAATCATTTGCCCATGTTCCTTCAACCACTTTGCTCACTGTTTCCACATCTAGATTTCAAAGCATCGTAGTTTGTGTGAGTAAGTACACAAGTGCAGGGCAGAGGTCAACCTCAAGCCTTGACTCAGGAGCTGTCCACCTTGTTTTCTGAGACAGGGTCTCTCCTTAGGAACTGGGTTTTCAGCTTAGACTGGCTGTCCATCGAGCCTGAGGATTTGTCTGTCTCAACACCCCTACCATAGGACTTACAAGCTTGTGCCGCCATGCCCAGTTTGTTATTCGGGTTACTCATGCTGGTAACACATGGACTCCACAGATTGAGCCATACGCCCCGCCCCCAGGCCCCATGTTTCATCTCCTTTAGCCAACTGCTTACCTGTCAACTCAACACAGCTGCCTAGAAACGATTTTGAACCTATTAAATGAGTGGGTGCAGGTCATCCAGGTCAGCAGGATCATACTCCAGTTTCCTTGAAATGACTCTGTTGCTTTCTATGACACCTTGACTGTGAGAGTGTGTTTCTAAACTTTAAAGGTTAGAAACAGAGAAAATTTACCAAGATGAAACATGCCAAATTAATACTGAAATAATATTAAAGTCTTCATAAAGTTAAGAAAAAATAGAGATAACTGGCCATTATAATCTTCCCATAAGAACTACTTGACATGTTAAAGATTTTGATAAGTACTATGCAGATAATAAAATATGCAGTTTAAAGAATGTTGAGACATGTATGATTTGTAGCATGCTGGTGTTACACAAAGGTGCAGGCATCAGAATCTCTAGGAGGAAACTGCAACTAAATATTATTGATTTCTTGTAGACAAATTTCTAAGCAGTCTTATTAAATAGGAAACACAGAGCCAAATACAGAGGTAATAGCCAAAGAGATCAGAGAACTAGCAAAGAGCCACGGCTACCTTATCGTACCACCTCGCCACTGCCATTGTTTCCCCAGAGATTCTTCCCATCTAACTTGTGTTTTTATTGCATTTCTGTTCTGCCTTCTCATTGGCTCTAAGCCCAGCCACATGACTTCCTCGTCACTGCCTGTCTATGCAGACCTCCAGGTCTCTATGTTTGGTACTAGGATTAAAGACGCCTGTCACCACATTTGGCTGTGTCTTTGACCACACAGAGACTCTGCCTGCCATGTGATCAGATTAAGGGCATGGGCTACCACCACCCGACTCCTGTTTATGGCTATGTGACCTCGCTATGTGACCTCTGATCTCCAGGCAAATTTATTTATTAACATACAAATAAAATCACATTTCAGCACAATTAAAATATCACCACAATTTCTTCCAATTTTTGTTTGTCTTTTCCTCAATTTCTTAATTCCTTTAAGGGAATTTTTCATTTCCTCTTTAAGGGCCTCTATCAACTTCATAAAGTTATTTTTAAGGTCCTTTACTTCTGCTTCCGCTGCACTGGGGTGTTGTTCGGGTGTTGCTGTTGTAGAACCACTAGGTTCTGGTGGTGCCATATTGCTCTTTATGTTGTTGAATGTATTCTTACACTGCTGTCTACCCATCTGGGCTGGGGTAATTATAGGCACAGGTGTTGATTCTTCCTCCAATCAGTGCAGGTGGGGTCTGTGCCTCTGGGTGCTGCTGATGGTTGATGGGGGGCGGGGGGAGGATGGGTTCCTTGTGTGTGTTTGTGGTTGAAGGTTCCAGGGTCCAGTGGGTGGCTGGGGTGGTGCAGCCATCTGCCTGCAGGAGTTTTACCTGCTGACCAGCTGCTGGGGCTGAGATGGGTGGAGGAGGGGCACAGGATGTGCCTCAGCATCGAGGGCCCAGAGACAAGGGCTGGGAGACCAATAACTCACCTCTTCCTCCCTGATTAAAGACGAATGAGTCCAGGAAAGGGCAGGTCTTCCAGGAGCACTAACAAAACACAGCACATCAAGGAGTGGATTGGGGGATGGGGACAAAGGTGTGTGAGGGAGGTTGGAGGGAGAAGACAGAGGGGAGGCTGTGGCCAGAACGTTAAAAAAAAAAAAAAAAAAAACTTCAAAATAAAAAAAGTAAAGATTACTGAGTCACCCACCCAACCAGCCAGTAACAGAGAGGGGATGCTAAGGAAATGGAGGAGGAACTATTAAAGTAATTTTTTAAAGGGTATAATTAGAGTGAAGTGACATTCAGGCCAACCATGGGTACAAGGGGAAAAAAGGATACACATAGCATTGGGGAGAATCAAAATGTCAGTCAGGAATTGATGGCAGTGACGTCACCGAGGATATTTTAGGTCTACCCTTAAAAATAAAATGCCTCAGAGAAGGGATGAGATGGAGAATAGCCAGCATGTTCACACTCTGGACCAGATGCTGTCTGCTAAGCCTGGTGCTGCTCATTCACGCAAGCTGTATATTACAGCTACTCTGTCACAGCAGGGAGTTTTCTGTCATTTGCATGTGGATCAGGTCTGCTTTTTGGGTTACAGCGATTCTAGGTTTCGATTTTCTCATTCTTTAATCATTAAGATCTCATTCAGCTTTAAAAATGTGTTGCGTGAACTATTTTCAAAAGTTTGTATTGAAAATATTGAAATGTTTGGATTTTTAACCAAGCATATTTGATTTGAAAATTTCAATCATTTATGTAATTTGTTGTAGATAGATAGATAGATAGACAGACAGACAGATAGATAGAGATAGATAGATAATTTTATTTTTAATGGGGGAGTTGTGCACATGGGTGCAGTTCCCTGCAGAGGCCAGAAGAGGGCACTGAAGTTATGATGTCACAGGCAGTTCTGAGCAGCCCCACAGTGAGTGCTGGGGTTGAAGTCAGGACCTTGGCAGAAGCAGCACCGGTTCTTAACTGCTGAGACATCTCTCCAGCACCCAGAAAAAAAAATTTATAGGTGCTTGTACAGCTGGTACCTGAAGAACGAACTATACAATACATCATAATGTATTCTGTAGTCTAATAACACTTCTCTTATTTGAACTTTTTAACTTAAATCTTTTGTGCAGCCATAACAAAGTAATTTTTTAAATTAATAACCATGGAATTTTAAATAAATGCATAGTGAACATGGGCCGGGGTAGTCAAGTTTTAACTGAATGAAAAATAAGTTAAAATTAATTTGTAGGAAACAACTTGTAAGGATAAATTTTTTTTATGAAAATTCCTTGTCTCTGAATACTGATGGGAAGATAAATAAGGACCACTCACACTGTATTTCTCATTTTTAATTTTGAAGAGGACTTTTTTTTACTTAATTTGACTTTCTTACATTTTTTTTCTTTTCTGTTTTCATTATGAATAATTAAAAACCTCAGCAAGCTGTGTAGATTTTATTAATCATCACAGGCGTAAGTCGTTTTTCACATATTAATAATTACAATCATTTTTCACATATTAATAATTACATTCATTTAGAGTTGCTACTTATTTATGAGCTTGCCTAAGTGTAGCTGGAATAGGTTTTGATGGAACGTCTTGTGTTTGTTGGCCTTTAAGCTGTTACACGTTATCGAGAGCATTTGCAGTAACAGCTTGTAGGTTCTCAGATCCATGCTTCCCTTTTCCTTTGAAGGGTTGTACACTTACTCTGTCCTTTGAAGAAATTTCATGTAGCATTTCTTAATAATGCCCGGTCCAACAAAACCAGACTAAAACAAAATTTGATTGAAAATCTGGGCAAACTTTACTCTATGTTCATGGATATAATTTGATTATCACAAATTTCTCGTCCTCTCTCTATGACTATCCTGCCCTTGCATAGAATGTGTCTGCTGTATCTACAGGGTCTCTGAGTGTCAGGGACGGGGTGAGGAGGGAGACCGTGTGCTCTGCCTCCCATCCTCTCAGTCTCTCTTCCATAGTCCCAGATGGACCTCTCCTCTATCCCCTCTTTATAAATGATTCTCTAGTTTTTGGTTTTTCCCCCTTGAAAGTTTCTCCAGCTCAGCCTCTCAATGGCAGGAAGAACATTTTTCCAAATCACAGAGTAAATCCAGTGACCTGAATCGACTCTCCTGCCTCTTGATACTGGAGCTTCAAGAAGGTCGGCTGCTAAAAAAAAATAAATAAAATAAAATAAAATAAACAATATTTTCCATTAATGCTCTCTAGGTAGTGTGCCCACTACTGACTTTCTACTTCCTTGTTTTATTGGCATAAAAAAACAAAATCTACGTCTTAAGTCACACATCCTGATTTTCTCAACCTTTTAAATTTCCATTTTTACAAAAGAAAATGAATTTCTAAAATATGA